TAATTGATCAAAAAGTTTACCAGAAACTGGTTTCTCTTAGAATATTATGAGTTTTCCTTCCTCTTTTCTTTCTATAAAAGTAAGGAAATTATATTTTTGGATGAACAAAGAATCCTCAATGCTTTTCCTACACATCTGGTGTACTGCTGCTGGAGATTACATTGTATGGGTGAAATATGTTTCAACTAACCAAGTTTAATTTGGTTTATACCCTATATTAATAAATAAGTTACAAATGAAATCACTGGTTTCTCTAGTCAGGTGAAACTGCTGCTAACTATATTGTTTCTGAGTTAGGACTGCTGGATTGGAGAAGAATTCCTACGGGTGTTACCCACAGTGAAGAAAAGGACTTGATTATTTTAATAGCTTTAATTTAGAAAGTTGTTCATTTCACAAATCATTACTATGTAGGTTCCATGAATGTAACATTAACAATGACAAAAACACATGGCTCCCTCATTGAGAGACAATTCATAAAATAACACAGCCATGTCTCCCTTGGGAAGAGAAACACCATGATGATGGAGGACTAGCTACCTCAAACAGTTAGACCATATCAGATAAAATCCTGGTCCTTTTAACAGTGGAAATTTTTTGATTTCACCAGAGCTAGGATTTCACTCATTAGTACTGGAGATTTTCTTAAGCTGAAAAACAAATTTCTCTTTGCTCATTAAGAAATAATAGTAATCTATGATAGTCGCCAGTTGTTTCTTACCCCCACCCTGAAATCCAATAAGATGTCTTTTTTGCAGATGAGTGCCTTATAACTATAAAAGGTATAAGTGGTTACCAACTGTCTCCACATCTATTTGTTCTCTGTTTGTTTTTCTGGTTACATACTCAATGCATGAGTTGTTTTTTTTTTTTTTTCTTCTGTAACCAGGATCTCCCATATTTTTTTAATCATTCCTGTAAATTACAAGATTTCTGCTTTTCCAGCTAAGATCTATCTGTTGGACTTTTCCTTCCAAATGTGCACACCTCATACATTTGTAGGATACATCATTAGAAAAGTTGTTGACAGTGTAAACACAATTAATGAAAACTGATTATTTGTAAAGGTTTGCTTTCTGTTAATAACCATGATTATTAGGGCTGTGCAAAAGGTCACAGGAGACCTCAAGTTTTGTTTTGACTTCCATTTTGCTGTTTTGAAGGGACAGTTTTTGTTTTGCTGTTTCGAAGCACTGTTCCGTTTTATTTGGTTGAAACTGTTTTGACGCTGTTTTGACGCGTTTCGACGTTTCGCCCATAGGCTATAATAGGGAATTACGAAAACGTCTCTAACTTTGTCATTTTGTTCCTGATTCAGGTGAAAATTGCAGGGATGGTAGCCACTTCTGAGGGCATGAAGCCTGCCAAGATTCAAGGAGATAGGTGGAGGGATTTCTGGGAAGCTGCACCTCAAACTGCAAAAAGCAAAACTTGTGTCATTTGCCAGCAGCAGCAGTATACTGTCACCCCTCAGACAGACCTGCAGACCTGCTCCCCCCAGGAGCAGTCTGGCACAGCCCTGCAGCCCTCCTGGGGGGGTGCGGGTCCCCAGATCTGCATGCAGGATGACAGCAGGCTGCTGCTGTCAGCTGGGGCCAGTACCAACACTAGGTTCTTCCCGGTGCTTGGTATGTGCTGCGCCAGGCAGACTCGGGTGCTGGTGCTGGCCCCAGCTGACAGCAGCAGCATGCTGTCATGCACATGCTCTCCAACCAGTGAGTTCGGAGCTTTAAAAAAAGCCCTGCACTCACTGACTGCAGCAGTGGCAATTGGGGCCTCTGAGGGCTCATGGCAGAGCCCCTACAGCACGGGGCAGTGGGGATTGCCCTGCCCCCACCTGGCATCCATGCAGCAGCTGCACTATTGCACTGGTGCAGCATGGCTTGGCAGGGTGCTAAGCACTGTCCTGGAGCTGGGGCAGCATCCTGGTTTGATTCCCAGCTATCTGATCATTCCCCCAGCAATTCCTGGGGGGCGCGACCCCCAGATCTGCACAGGGTTTCAGCAGGCTGCTGCTGCTGGCTGGGGAAATAGCCCACAGCTGCTGCCATCCCCAGCTGGCAGTGGCAGCCTGCTGTCTTCCTGCATCATCCAGGGGACTGCATCCCCCAGGAAGAGCTGGGGGAAAGATTGGGGAGCTGGGGAATTGAATCGGGAACTGGGGGAATGTTCAGGGATCTGAACATTTCCCCAGGTCGATTCCTCCAGCTCTTCCGAAGGGTTGTGGGCCCCTGGATCTGCGCACAGGCTGGGATCAGTGGTCGTGTCAAGCATCTGCTGCTGGCTCCAGCCTGCAGCAACAGCCTGCTGAAACCCTGCGTGCAGATCAGGGGCCCGTGGGGAAAAGCTGGGGAAATGATCAGAGAGCTGAAAAATTGAACAGGGAGCTAGATGTCAATATTGGAGCAGTCCTTCCCCCTCTACCACCTCCTTCTTAGTTTCTGTTTAGCTGCAAGCAATTTGCCTTCGAAACTCGAAATGTTTCAAAACTTTCAAGTGCCCTCATTTCATTTCAAAGCTGTTTTGAAACCTTTCGTTTCATTTTGATTTCACTGTTTCAAGCTTGAAATGAGTCGAAACAACTTCAGAATGAAACACCCGTCAAAATTTCACGCAGCCCTAATGATTATCTCTTCTTTGTTGGATGACTAGAGAATATTTGCCATTGCAGGTTCTCAAGTGGGGAAACTGATTCTAGGATACATTGAGGGACTTTTAGAACATTGGGACCCCCCTTTGAAGCATTTTCCTGGAACAAGGATGCAATCAGATGTGGAAGAATTTTGGTCCCACATAATGAGAGACAGATGAGTACTGGATGTCATTGCCTCCTTGAAGCTGTGACAAAGAATTTGTATTTTTATAGTAAGAGGGAGAAAGTCACTTCAGAAACCAAAGATTTGAATGCAGGGTTGCACAAGGTTGCAATCAGAGGTTCCAATTTTCAAATCCTAATAAAAACTATTTTAATTCGAGTGTTCCCATGTTTGAGAACAAAGCCAGTGGTTGCTGGGTCCTTTTGAATGGAAATCATTTTCAATCAATATCTTTGTCTAGCTGCTGCCATATGCTCTCTGTTACCTGATGAGACAGCGATGAAGTTTTGAAGTTTGCTGTGAAAAGGATATCTGGACAGCAGGATAACAGAAGTTAGGTGCCTGGAGGCAGGGAAAGCATTTTACTACTATGGCTTGCAATGCTACCTACTTCCACTAGGGGCTTGGGGTCCTGTGGTGTATAGGCAATGGGACTCTAAGGTGCAGGGCACGTCTAATTAGCATTTATGTGCTTTTCCTAATGTGCATTAAATTTAGTACCTCCAATATGAGGGCGCCGATACATGAGCATGAAGGCTGCTCTGACGCACTGGAATTCCAATATGATTAATAGAGTCTGTTTGAGTGTGACAATTGGGTGTGTCTCCAGTAGCCTTCTGCATCTCGTGTATCAGTGTCCCCGTGCTTAAAAATTGCGGCAGGGGCACTAAAAATAAATTTTTTGGAATGATTTTTAGTCCAAGCCCCCCCGCCACAATTTTAAGTGTGGGATCACTGATACAGGGGATGTGGTGGTGCTTTAATTAGAGCGGCAGTTGGAGCTGCTCTAACTAAAGTGCTGCCCCCATCAGCCCTGGAGAATATGTTCAAGTGCCCTGAGGTACTAAATAAATGCACATTAGGCTGACCTAATGCGCAGTAGTGAAAGCGCACATTTTAGTGATGCTTAATGCGCAGTAACCTATTTTACTGCTCATTAGCATAATAGTACAGTTTTTCACATAATGCTTTAATACACTGTAGAATAGGCTACTACGCATTAAAGCACATGTGTAGGCATGCTCACAGACTAGGGAATAAAAGTTATTTGGGGGTTTTGAGGTACCGAGGTCTCTCTGCTCCTCCTTGTTACCTGAAGCTCCCATCCTGTTTTGGGTATTGGAGCCAATGGAAACAATAGTGAATAGGTATCTACACAAATAGCTATAAGGATATTAATTCCCAGGATGGTTGCTATTCAGGATTGTACTGGGTGCCTTTACAGCTGGAAGTGTGAATCCCTAGGCTCTCCAGATAAGAGTTGTAGCAGATTTATGACCTCTATAGTTCACATACAGAGGTGGTTGTATACATTGTGAGTTACATTTCCACAAGTATTTATTCATGATGGCAGTGTCTGGCCATCATGAAAGCCATGTGTAGGTTTGAAATTAATTGAGTGAACAAGCAAAGTCAGTACCTTGAGACCTTGGTCGTGAGTTGTCTGGCATGAGTAGTAAATACTCAGAGAAATAGTTACTGTTAGAGGAACTAGCTCAGGTACTGGAAGCAATATAGCTGTGTTGACATGACACTCCACCAGGCTAACTGGCCCTTCTGCAAAGCCAGGCACGGCAGCATTGGGTAGAGCATCATGTTAACCTGGCTACATTGTTTGCGTATTTTAAGATCTAGATCAAATATCTTTGCATGTTGAAATGTTAGCGTGCATTTGTTGAAGTTATTTCCATTTGCCTTGAATATTATTTTTGGCTGGCACCTGTTCTGCTGTAGGAGCATCCAAACTGTCGTAGGTGGACCAGTCTTCACATACATTCTACAGAAGCATCAGAAAAGACTTGTTTTAAAAGCAGTAAATGTCTCAGGGGCTGCTGAGCTACTAAGAATCCCCAATAAAGAACATCTGTGGGGCTTCAAGCTCTGCACCTGGAAAGAATAGAAGAAAAGTTAAATAGGAAGTATCTGTACTATTTTTTTCTTTAATCTGAAATATCTTTGTGCTAATTGTGACTTAACTGACAACCAAATGGTCTCTACAGTGCACTCAAATTCTTTGAATATTGGTAGTAGTTTCACACACGATTGTTGTAATTTTGCTCCATGTTGTGGGCTCTGACCCAGAAAATTCTGTCCTCCCAACACATGCATGTGCACTGAATCAATACCTGGGGTACTGAATAACAGTTTTAAGTATAACTTTGCTGAGTTTGTTCTCTTTTTCAGGCTCTCAATGGATTTGTCATCTCTGTCACTGCAGACGGTTACATCTTCTACATCTCCCCTACAGTGCAGGACTACTTGGGATTTCATCAGGTGGGATTTCATCAGCAATTTTTTTTTCTGATTTAAAAAAGGATGGCATAGTTTAAACAGAAGCAGCCAATGTTCCAGATTACTGAAGGCTCCCTTATTTTGTCTTGGAAGACCATAAGACTGTCTGCTTTAAAAATCATTGCATTTTCTTGTGGTAATTAAACGAACATTGCACTTTGTACAATGTAAGCAAAAGTAAACAGCTGGATTCATGCATCATGTTTCATAGTTGTTAGGGGCTGGGAGGGACTTTATAGATTATAGAGTCCAGCCCCCCTGCACTTGGGCAGAAAAGACTGCTGGGGTTAAATGACCCCAGCAAGATGCGTGTCAAGATGCTTTTTGAAGATTGCCAGGGTGGATGACTGTACCACCTCTGGGGGAGCTTGTTCCAAACCCTCGGCACCGGACTTGTTAAGAAGTTTTTCCTTATGTCTAGCTTAAAGTGATCCTCAGTCAGCTTGTGCCCATTAGTTCTTGTCCTCCCCTGGGTGGGGCTTGATGAACAGATGCTCCCCCAGGCCGTGATGTATGCCCTTGATATACTTATAGGCTGCCACCAAGTCCCCTTTGAGTCTTCTCTTCTCCAGGCTGAAAAGTCACAAGTCTTTCAGCCTCTCCTCCTGTGACCTGGTCTCTAGGCCTCTAATCATGCACGTGGCCCTCCTTTGGACTCTCTCGAGCTTCTCCACATCTTTCCTGAACTGCGACGCCCAGAACTGGATGCAGAACTCCATCCGCGGTCTCACCAAGGCCGAGTAGAGAGGGAGGATGACATCCTTAGCTTTGCTTGATGTCTCGGTAGATGCATGCCAGTGTTTTATTAGCTTTGCCAGCTATGGCATCACATTGGTGGCTCATGTTTATTTTGTTGTCTATCATGACACCCAGGTCTTGTTCAGATGTGGCGCTAGCAAGCATAGCACTGCCAAGCCTTGTGGATTATTTCTCCCCAGATAGAGCACTTCACATTTCTCCATATTAAACAATATCTGCCCACCTTGTGTGCCTATCCAGGCCAGCCTATATTGCCAGTCTGTCTTCAAGCATGACCACGCTCTCCCATAGTTTGGTGTTGTGAGCGAACTTTGCTAGTTTGCTTTTATTACCCAAACCCAAATCATTGATGAACATGTTGGAAAGCACTGGTCCGAGTACTGAACCCTGAGGGATGCCACTGGTCACCCTCCGCCATGATGACTCAGTTCCATCAATCAGTCCTCTCTGCGACCTATCATAGAGACAATTTCCTAGCCTCCGGACCATAAAGTAGTTGAGGCCACATTTTCCCAATTTTTTTCATGAGGACTTTGTGGGAGACCAGGTCAAAGGCCTTTTTCAAGTCCGGGTATATGACATCAACCTCATTTCCCCCATCCAGGTGGTGAGTAGCCTGATCATAGAAGGAAATGAGGTTGGTCTGGCATAACCTGCCCATAATGAAGCCATGTTGGCTATCCTTCAGAATATTGCCTTTTGCTAACCTGTCTGTAATGGATTCTTTGATAATTTTCTCCAGGATTTTATCAGGGATTGAGGTCAAACGGATTGGCTTGTAATTTCCTGGGTCCTCCATTCTCCCTTTTTTAAAGATAGGCACCACGTTGGCCTTCTTCCAATCTTCTGGGACCTCTCCTGAGTGCCACAAGTCTTCAAATAACTTTGTCATTGGTTGCACAATGACATTGGCCAGTTCTTTTAGCACCTTCAGGTATAGTTCATCTGGTTGTGCTGACTTGTAGATATTTAGCCTTTGTAGGTGCTCCCCCACAAGATCTATGCCAACTATGAGGGGGGGGTCACTCCTACCATGATCATCCTGTATCCTGTCAAGCAGGTTAACACCCTTGGACTGGTAGAATACCAACATGAAGTATTCATTCAAGAGTTTGATTGTCTCCTAAGTGTCAGTTATATGCCACCCCATTTCATCCATCAGGAGCCTTATGCTTCCCTTATTTTTTTCTCCGACTTCTTACATCTCTAAAGATGGACTTTTTGTTGTCCTTGATTCTAGTTGCCAATCTGTATTTGGTGAATTTGCTTCCCACAGGTGTGGGCTGTTGCAGCCCTTGTTGGTAGATGTTGGTAGACAGCACTTGTTTTGGGGACATAAATCAAGCTTATTATCATATGTTTTAACTTATGCGGGCAGGAGCATTGTTTTATATTACATTGGAAATGATATGTACATGTGTATGTACAGTGTGTGTGTGTGTGTGTGTGTGTGTGTGTGTGTAAAGTCTGAGTTACTTCATTACTCATGAAACATAGGATATCAATGGCACTGGGCGGCATAAGGTGTATGCCGTCTCTGTGGAAGGTTCCCACGCAGTTCTGTCACAGAGCTTAGCACTGCTTTGTGCCATTTGCATTCTTCTGCTACCCATTATCCAATCCCACTTTTGTTAAGATACATTAGCCTTTATCAGTATTAGTGCTGAGCTTCTGTTAGGTGAGAGAAGCATGAGGCTACCAAGCTTAGTTTCTCTGTGACAGAAAGAAAGATTGGGACCCAGGTCATTTGAAGCTATTGAAACAGGAATTCTCTATACAACCGTAACTCTGTCCCCTGGTGTGCGCATATCATAGTACAGACTCTTCTATACATTTTCATACTACATGATAATGAAATCTGAACTTTGCTTTTTGCATCTTGTGTCAGAGTCAGCATTGCCTTGTACCACTGTCTGCACAAAGGGATTGCATGTGTTCTGGACAAGTGGACATGTAGAAAGCAATGAGAGAACAGTATAGTAAGTAAATCAGAGTACTGATGTCTTTCCAGCCCAGCAGTATTTACAGCTGAGTAAGTGTCATAGGTAATTCTAACATTCTCCAAAGTGCTGTTAAGGAAATAAACATTTCAAATCTGAATGATGCTGTGTTACTATCTCCTCCTTATAGAATGAGATCCTGACCTCCATTAAAGTTTAATGGAAAAACTGTTATTAAAAATCAGGGTATTAGGATTTTACCCTGAAAAATACAACATGAGCATCTAATTAAAGGCTATATCCTCATGGGAAGTATAGTTAGTTACACAATGTAGCTTTAACATTGTCAGTGTCTGAGTGTCAGTGCTTAACTGTACAATTTTAACATTCCTTTGCTGCATGGGGATAATATAGAAATATATTCAGTTTACACCAATCTTTTTTGTGAAACTGATTTAATTTCCTATAATACTCTGGTTATAGAAGCATTACCAACACTTTTTTTCAGATGTTGTTTCTGAAATAAATCTTCTGCTGCAAGCTCAGTGCAACATCATTATGTCTTTTTTTTATTTTCCGAAGACTGCAAAATGTCTATATCTGACATATTGCCTTACATTTTAGCTTATATTCCTATAGGGCATATTATTAAAAGCTCTTCTATTTTCTCACTTATTCTTCTTTTCTCCTCCACACCAGTCAGCTCAAATATTTGACTCTTATTAGTATTTTGTATATGGTGTTAACAACCCTTCCAACCTTTGTATTTTCCAAAGTGTTTTTTCATTTATCCACATTTACATAAAAATAGCTGTCTGATACCAGTATCTACCTGTAGGTATGGAAGGAAGTCACATTTCTTTTCACTGTTTGTTGGACACCACATTCACATAGGGAGCTGTCCAAGATGTTCATCTTATGAAGTGCTGCTTTGAAACATCTGTATCTAGATCTCGTCCCGGGTATGACCATAAACTGCATTTAGCTGGAAGGCCTGGTGGCAACGTGATGGGGCTATTCATGGCAGGGTAGCTCCTCTAAAATACCACAATGTTGCAACATCTAGAGTAAGGCGAGTATAGGGCATCCCAAACCCCAGCTGCATTGTGGGTACTCCTTGTTTGGAGAAAGGCTAAGGAACATCACCCTGACAGAAAGGTGCCCTTGCTGGGGCATTAAGCAGTCAGCAGCAGCTCTAATCTATTGCTCTCTGGCAGAAGCTTCAACCATTGAGGCACTGAACATCTGGACTTCGTCTGCCCTTTGGATTCTGTCTCAGTGATCTAAAGGGGGGATGGTAGGTCTAGGGCAGCCTCCACTCCTCCATACTTTTGCCTAGGCGTATGCACTGAATGTCTTGGTATGATGGTCGCATGGATCTGTTATGCGTATACCATGATCTAAAAGATTGATGGTTGCCAAGATGCACATTTCTGTTCACTCTCTGCTCATTCATGGATTCTTAACACTGATTCTTAACATTTAGTGTAGTTAGTATCTATTTATACAGAAAGAGTTTCCAATTTCTTTCAATTCTGTTTGTTTCTTGAATGTCTAATTGCAACTTTGACACACAATCATATTTTGAGCTCTGAATATCCATAGTTTCATAGTTTCATAGATTTAGGGTCGGAAGGGACCTAGTAGATCTTCTAGCCCGACCCCCCGCCAGGGCAGGAGAACAACAAAACCCCAAAACAAAAACGGGACTCAAATGAGTCCAGCCAGGTAGGCATCCAGCCTCTTCTTAAAGACCCCCAGGGTAGGGGCCAGCACCACTTCCCTTGGAAGTTGGTTCCAGCTCCTAGCCACCCTAACTGTGAAGTAGTTTTTGCGGATGTCCAATCTATACCTCCTCTCCATCAACTTGTGCCCATTACTCCTTGTTATGCCAGCGGGCGCTAGGGGAAACAG